GTGTAAACATTAATAATTTGAAATTTATTAAATGTTGGAGGAAAAGGTGGGGGGGAAGGAAATCCTGTAATTGAAACTGAATGCCCGAAGAAAAGGATAAATACACTTAGACAGTTTTACAGTCTGCAGTTCTGTTCTTTCTGTAATATTGCACTGAATGGCCATGTCAAGATACTGATCTTTTGCCTTTGGGAATTAAATAATATTGCACATGTTGCATATGTTACTTCCATAAACTCCCTGTGTCCCAGGAGTCAAAATTAGCTGTAGAAGTACTATAGTCATAGTTAAAAACTGTCAACACCAACCAGTGATAAGGCTAATAGCATATAGCAAGCAGGATTATCGGTTTTCTTATATTGATATTTCCAAAGTTCAATTTTATTTTTCCACAAACTTATCAAGAAGAGCAGCTGTAATTATAGCTGCTGCCACACCTGAAGGAGTGCTGTTCAGTGGCCTTTTGCTGCTGTTGAAACTTAGAAACAAACAAGAAAAAATGCTTTTAGGAGAATGCAGCTGTTAATTATTCATAAAGATTAGCCATCCAAAGGTTAGTTGCACTTCTGAGTCTGATGCCTTAGCAACATACATTCCAGAAGACAGCAGCTCTTTGTGGGCAACATGAGAACACTTTCCAGGGTCTTACTCGCATTCTTTGTAGCACAACGGTCTATCACTGTCAGACCCTTTGGCAAATATGTTTTCACTTGGGAAGTAAATTTAAATAACCCAGAAGAAATATGCATCTAGATGACATGACACGGATAGATGGAAAGTGATGCAGGTTAAACGTGATCGGTACCGACATGGACAAAAGGCTGTAGCTCTGACTTGCCAAGGGTGCTGACTTCAGGGGCTGTGCGAGGTCATCTACGGGGAAAAAAGATGCCATGTCAGTATGGCAAGTGTCATTACATTATTTCTATGTCTCTGGCAATTAAGAATAACTCTGGTTATATTAGGATGAAACTGCCTGGTCCTCTTAAGATAAGAAATGTTTTTTTGTTAAGTACATAAGTTCTGGGACTAACACGGAGGTAGGCTCAACCACCAGCCCCTTTCTAGAAACAGGCTGTACGACGGCTCACGTGAGGGCAGTGGCAGCATTCCAACTGCAGCACGGCCACAGGGAGGGGAAGCCCCGATGGCAGCAGCTGCCTCTTAGAGCACTCACTGAACAGAGCCCCACAGATATTTCCTATTTTCCAGACTCACTCTCTGACAGATCGCAGAAAAGAACAAGCCCTGGCACCAGCCCTGCATATATACCCCTGGTAGCATTGCCCTAGGAAGAGCAGGCTTCCTCGTGAACTGGCCCTGTACTTTGGTTCCATAGGTTTCCTTTGAAAAACTTTGTCCTGGCAGGACAGGAGATCAGACATTTACCTTAATCTTTGCATATTGCACTTTGCCACTTAGAGTGTCAGGAGCCAGGCTTTACCCAAGGGTCTTGAATAGACACCTTCAAAAATAACAACCACAAGCTTTTCTCATTTCAAAACATCTCTGCTGATGTGAAATACTTTTTTTTTTTCTTTTTTAACCTAGTGGAACTGACCATCATCTCCATTTTTTATCTGTTGCCTGGAAATGAATGTTGCAGGCAGCACACGCTTTTAATCTCTGCCATGCGCACATGCAGGCAGAGATGCAAATTCTGGCTTTAGATGCTGCTTTGGAGGTTCCTTTGACAGTGACCAAAATCGCCCCAGGAGCGAGAGCTGCAGGACAGGTGGGGAAGCTGTGGTGGACAGATCCCTAGTTCCCATGTTGCAGATGCAACGATTTGCAGACCCTTCTGTTGGACACTTAAACACTCGCTGTATTTCACATTCTCCAGCTATGAAAGAACAAGAGACTGCAGAGAACTGTGCCTAGCTACCTTTAAGTGTTCCTTGCACCTCTGAAAATGCAAGGCAACCACCAAATCACCTCCATATAAAAGGAAAAGAGAGTTTTCATTTCGACATTTTTAATATTCTCTATGTACCGGAGAGCAGCTCAGAAACTACCACTGCAGGACTGAACTACAGGGGCAGTTGTATTTCTTCCACACACAAGCTGAGGCACTAAACAGCCCTCCTCAACCTCTCAGTGACAATTTCATAGCTTGGGCATCCCTATCAACATTACGTCTCACCCACTCTGATCTGCTCATGCACAAATTCCCCTCAGCCTTGGTGCTTTAACACACAGGCTTAGCTCCTGCAAGCTGGTAAATAACTTGTCAGAAATGTATCTTGGAAAGGAGGAAGCCAGGGCTACAAGGGAGCTGCTGAAAAGACAAAATAATCCCCACCCAGCCATGCTGTTAAACACATTTCAGCTCACTGAGGATTGGGAAAGAAATTAGATTAAGGGTGCAACACGCGTGCCTATTGAAAGCAATCAGACATGCCCTACGGCTTCCACCTTATCTCTTGGTATAAGGACAAGTAGAGCCAGTTTCTTTCACTAAGAGACCAGTAACTTCCACTTTGGGCACAGGGCAGCAGAAAGAGGGAGTACAGAATTAATTACTGCTCACATGTGGCAACATCTTGAGCTCAAACCACGAGCTCTCAGCTCCCCCTCCTCTGAATTTGGATGGCATCACCATCAGTCCAGGGCTTCTTCAACACATCTGCCTTCAACATCTGCACAGGGTGTCTTAGTCCAGGGGCCAGTGACACAATGCACATATTCTCCCAAAGTCTGTTTTAGCTCTAGTAAGCAGGATTGCGTCACCCTACCAACAACACCCCCACCTCTTCAATTAGGAACCACTTCTTAAAGCAAAATACTGGGCAAAGACAAGGTTTTCATGAAATATCTCAAGTGTCCAGGTATTTCCAGACAGAACTGTGCCACAACCCTCTCCAGTAGCAATACGCTAGAAATACAAGAACAATGAAAGCTGCTACAATTCCAGCCCCTGAACCAGCCAATGGGCAAGAGAGTCCGCTGGGGTTCAAGCGCTTTGAGACGCAGTGGAAGGCCAGCAGCTGTGCTGGAGTTGGTGCAGCAGACATAGCACTGCTAAAAATATGTCAGTGGAGTCCTCCATCCCCTTCAACAGGGCTTCGGTTACATCCCGACTAGGTGCTTTAAATTGTGAAAAATTCCAACAGGAGCGTGACAACATTAAATCACTATAACTGGTAGCAACTACTAAAGCATCTTTCAAAACTTTTACTAAAATTTCATGAGCAATCTAATGCTATAATGGATTTCCAAGGTTAAGTCAATGTTTTTGCTTAAAAAAAACCCCCAACAAATAAAAACCTCAACAAAACCCACTATGCAAACTAACTCCTACTTGCCAGCTAGCATTAGAGCAGCCAAACACATTGCAGTGACAGGTCAAAAGCTGTACTTAGCATAATGCATAAGTGTGTAATAGTAAAATATAAATACGGAAGCTGCAGAGATTTGTTCTGCCACTCTACACTTACCTCGTCAAACACTACGTTAAATAGCTTCATTTTTTTCTGTTGATCCTAGATGTTTTCATACTAAAATAGCTATAACCAGGTTATATAAAGTTTGGAAGGCTTCTACATTAGCGTATAGTCAACTGATTTGGCTTTTTTGATTTTGAGCAGTTTTCAGCACCATCAACTGCTGCACCAGTTACTTTACCCACGACACATCTGTATGAACATAGAGCAGTCCAGCATCACAACTTTTGATTAATACAGCGAGTACTTGCCCAGTAAACAGTTAAAAACTTAGGCTCTTCCCTATTTTGGGCTCCCTGTTCTTGCCTAGTTTTAACATGACCTCTGCTACAAATCTCCTCCCACAGGAGTTGAAACACACCAGGGACAGAGTGTGTGTTTGCAGGCTGTGGGAAAGAGGCTGCAGGTTTTGTTCAAAAGAAAATGAAAACAAACAGAAAGAAACCCTGAAAAACCGCATCACCAGTCCATAGCAGTGCCTCGCACAGTAATTAGCAACAGTACTGCCAGCAGCACCCTTACTTCAGGCCAAGACATGAACATTTATACCCAGAGCCCAAAATTATAGCCTGTTTTCATGCCCCTGTGTGGTCCTACAGTTTGGGAAATGTGGCATTAAGGGGTTTTCTGGGCGGAGAAACCTAAGAGAAAGATTAGAAACTGCTCTGTGAGCTACAAATGAAACAGTCAAATTTGTAATGCTCCGTATTACTTGACTTCAGTAAAAGGCAGATTCACCGTATTAGAAACCGTATCTTCTATTTTACAGGACTGTTACCGAGTAGATCTTAGTGGGTTATTTAAGCCATTAGCTCAGAATCCAAATCATCACTGAAGAGCAGAGAAAACACGTATTTCTGCAACTCACAGATCTTCAGTGGTCAACTTTTTCAAAGTCTTTATAACACTGGCATTTAACAACTTCTAAAATTTAGCAAACTTTCCTCACCCTAAGTATGTAATCACCACATAAACCTTTGTGGCAGTAACTATGGGAACCATCAAAAACAATACTGAAAATTACTCAAATGGAGACACTGTATTTTATTAATACTCTTCCAGATTACATTTCTATTCCTAAAAGAAAAACCAGGAACACATCTAAATCTAGATCTAAGAATTCCATTCTGGTTCAAATCCTGGGAATAGAACACTGTTAAGCTGTACGATTTTATTACTTTCCATTTACTTTAATATTTCAAAATAAAATAATAAGTCAAATAGTACTTGCTCCAGACAGATTGCATATTGAACATGGTAGGTTGTTAATCACCACACATCAACTTCCTGATAAAAATCCCTGATTAAGAAGTTTTCCCTCTAAATTGTTTATAAAATTCTGTGTCAGTGGCTCAGCCACTCAGTGGTATAGGAACCACTCCCAAGTTTCTTGTTGCTTAGATTATCCAGCCTCCAGCGCATCGTGGAACTGAAGTCCTTGGAGGTGGGAGCCCAGCAGTTTTCTCCTCAACACCTTCTGTTGAGCATCACAGAACTAGACACAGTTTGCTTCAAGAAGCCTTAGGAATCATCTCTTGAAGAAACAGGGAAGGTGGTCATGTGTAACAGAGGAAGAAAAGATGAAGCCTCAATATTTATGGGAGTAGATCCTCAAAACTCAGCTGAGCCAGGTCCAGCAAGCGAGAAAACCACGCAAATCCCACCAAGGGAGCAGGCATCACAGAGTAAAGAAACCAGACAATAAGCAGATCTCCATTGCAGAAGCTGTCCACAAATGTGTCAGTCCCATGAATCATTCGCTATAAAAAGTTCAGTGTCGTATCTTCAGTTCTTGTTTAACTATAATTCTGTACATTATATACAAAAACACACAAGGATAGCTGCTTGATGCTTCCAATCGTTCTTTCGCAGGGATGAAAGATTTTAAAAACCAGAGTCTGGACTTATAAACAGTGCAGAAAACGCAAATGCTAAGAAGACAATGCCTCCTATGATTGTCACTGAAAAGAAAACGCAAACCAAAAAGAAATTAGATACTGAAAGTTAAATATCTTCCATGACACATTGTAGATTATTTTTTTTAAAATGTCTGATTCCCAAATAACCTTAATTTAAAACTTACATGGCAAACAGTAGATGTTGTTTCTAGCTCAGTGTCAGGATGCCCGTATGCCATTCCCCTGTCTAAGTGCACCTACAAGAATATATTCTGGTCCTTAGAAAGAAGCTTTGTTTTACTAGTTGAGCTCGTATAAAACTGAGCTTGATACCCACTGTTGAGTGTTTGGTTGCTGGGGGAAAATAAGATACAGTATTCTCATGCTGGAACGAGCTATCAGGTAAGAGTGACATATTAATTAGTATTTTTTCACATTTTAGGTAACTATATTGAAGGAGACAGTTTAAAAAACATTAACTGCTTACAACAGCCACAATCTGCTAGAGGCTAAGACAGTATTCCGGGAAAGCACTGCTGGATATGTTCTCCTGCTCTTCTCTAAACTGTTGGGGCTAGATGGATCCCTGGTCCAACCTCACAAGGTTATCCTTGTAGCCAAAGATCCACCCTGAGCTCATTAGGAGCACATGAAATCATTGTTAGATTCATCACCAATTTCTTTAGCAAACAAACATGACACAACACACATTTCCCTGTTTAAAGTTTTTTTTCACAACCTCTGCAACTACAAAACAAATGCTCTGAATAAACATATCTCACTACACCACAGGATTGACAGCTGAAGGAAGCTGCTATCTAATCTAAGGAAAAACAACATAACCCAATGTAACCTTACTGGCCCTGCCCATTACAGATAGCAGGTGTGATAAAAAAACAAAAAACGAAGCCACTACATTTATGCCAGTGACAGAGTACCTTTTAAAGCTTTTATATGGCTGGCATAATTTCTAAGTGTGCAGTTCTCTGGCTCACCTGGAGGTCTGCACTCAAAATTGTGAGAGAATTTCTATTACCCACTGTAGAACAATCCCTACCAACTATTTGAAAGAATGTATTTCCTTCCTCTGGAGACCATCTAGTCCAACTCCCCTGCCAGAGCAGTTTCACCTAAAGCAGGTTGCACTTGGTGGTGTCCAGGTGGGTTTTAAATGTCTTCAGGGATGGAGACTCTACCACCTCTCTTGGGCAGCCTGTTCCAGTGCTCTGCCACCCTCACAGTAAAGAAGTTCCTCCTCACATTTAGATGGAACTTCCTATGTTCAAGTTTGCGCCCATTACCTCTTGTTCTGTCACTGGGCACCCCTGAAAAAAGACTGGCCCCATCCTCCTGACACCCACTCTTTAAGTATTTATAGGCATTGATGAGATACCCCCTCAGTGTTCTTCAGACTACACAGCCCCAAGTCCCTCAGCCTTTCTTCATTCCCTAATCATCTTCGTAGCCTTTTTCTGTATCCTCTCCAGCAGTTCCCTGTCCTTCTTGGTACTGGGGAGCCCAGAACTGGACACAGGACTCCAGATGCAGCCTCACCAGCGCAGAGTAGAGCAGGAGGATGACCTCTCTCATCATGCTGGCCACACTCTTTTGGATGCACTCCAGGATGCCATTGGCCTTCTTGGCCACAAGGGCACACTGCTGGCTTATGGCTATCCTGTTGTCCTGCAGGTCAGCCCCTAACCTGTACTGATACATGGGGTTATTCCTCCCTTGGTGCAGTACTCTACAAGATAATAGCAAAGCAAAATGTGCTTCACCTGTGTCCATCTTCAAACTTGGAACTCCAATATCCATTTTGGTTCCTAATATCAGATCAGTAAACTGTTTTCAATTAAGGTTGGACCCACTGGAAATACCCACATGCTCAGACTCTGCCTGGCAGGAGTGACATGCAGCCCTGGGAGCAGTGCAGGGGCACCCCCAGAGGGGAGAACTGACTAAATGATGGGGATGAGATGGAAGACACAGATTCAAAAAAAATAAAAAAAAGTTGTTAGGTTTTCCAAAAGTTTTGAGAAACACTGTTCCCAAACTCATTGCCACTTACACCACAAATATTACCATATTTTCAGAGTTGGACTGAGTTTTCACTTACCCGTCCTAACAGAAATTTTTTGTGCTATCATTCTCCCTCCAATAACTGCTAAACCAGTGCACAGGCAGTGTCCCACTGTTCCTCCTACTGCCACACCATAGGGGTCCTGAGGAAGAAATACAGAAAGGAAATGTAAGCACAGTTGAAAACCCACTTGTCTTATGACAACCTCCTGCCATGAAGGAGCGATGCCTTGATTCCCTGGTTGCACCCTGTCAAGTACGGAAGAAAATACTCTCTGGTATTTGCTCTGCTATCCATCACTGCCTTAAAGAGCACTAACAGCATACATCAGCTAGCAACACAGCCTCAAATCTAAACCTGACTCATACAGGAACATACGGCATGTTTCAACTACGAAGCATCTTCTAGTTGTTAAATATGGATCCAGGAATCGCTCTGCTGTACTTAAACAATTGAACAACCTCTAGATAGAAGGAGGCAGCTGTTGAGAAACACAATATGCATCAGCTGGAAGAACATCAAGCTAATCATAAAGAAAGAGAAAAATAAATGCATGAACTGCAAATGAAAGCTTTTAGTAGCTTTGTAGTACTTTGTCCAACTTCAGAAGCTTGAGCTCCACACTCTGCCCCCGACCAATCACCCGAAGAGGGAAGCATGAAAGAAGTTAAATCCAGAGGATAATAAACTGTTTTCAAGGCTTATTGTCAATGACAGCTTTCAACATCATAACAGCTACTCACTATGTGAACAAGTCCACTATATAAATAGGTTTCTCAGATCTGCTTACAAATGACACAGGTAAGGGCAGCATAAGTATTGAACAAATCATAAAAAGACTTCAGCATTAGAAACAGAAAACAATCTTTTAATGCCCGATAACAAAGGCAAGGCAGGAGCATGACTTACTGCTGTACAAAGATGAACGAGAGAAAGTGGAGTTGGGTGCCCTGCATATCTAAGTGAGATTTTTAGTTTTAAAGAAAAAAAAAGCTGCTGCCATCATGAGCCATGCATGAAAACTCTAGCAGGCAGACAGCAAAACTGTCCAACTTTTGTGGAAATTATACTGTATGAAGAAAAGACAACACTGACAGGCCAAAAGAACCAAAACCACAAGTCAGTGAGAAAAGGTGACAAGCACCAAGCAGAGGACAGGCAGGAAACTATGATGGAGTGCAGGGTGGAAGCAGGGTTGTGCCAGTAGAACACATTTGCTTCCAAGATCTGGACTCAAAATTCCTGGAAATCCCCATCTCCATGTGGTCAGCAGTTACCTGTAGATCCATCTCCCCACATTCCCTAGAAAGTAACAAGCGCTGCCTGGAAGGAAACAAGTTAGGGATTGCTTCCCTCAGTGTAGTGTCTCCAGGAGCATAAGTGCTCCGACAGAGAAGCTGAGGCAAAGCCAGTGTAGTAGGACACTATGGAGTTTTATTTTGTTTCCTTTAAACAGACAAACAATTCTTACATACAGTAGACTACTGGGGTGTAAAATCAAGTTCTTAAGGACTGTTGTCAAGACTAGATTCATAAAGACAGACTTAACTCATTCTGCTGGTATATGCACTGAGAAAGCCAAATAATCACTCTTCTCCTCCAAAGAGTCCTGATTTTTGTTCTGATATGATAGACACTACTCACTCAATGAGCAGTCATGTAGTATTTGGTTTTCTTTTTACCGAAGAATGTATGGTCACAGCTGGCTTACCACACTGCTCAAATCTCCATATAAAGATAATTTTTTTTTCCTCACAAGCATTTCTGTAACATTCCTACTATGTATCTTAGTACTTCACAGACAAGGACTTATCTGAACATACTATGAAACATGGCTTTAAAACAACCCTACAGAAAAAATGAAAAAATATCCAGATCATAACCATTCTCTGCCTTTTGAAGGCCAAGATCAAGACACCTTCAATTCATTTTTAGTATTTGTTTTTGCTTCACTTATACAAACACTTCGTATGCCAAAAGCACAACATCCCACGATCTTCAGGTGCAATGCTTAATATTCCACAAACGAGAAAACAGAGTCTGATGGAAACTTCCCTACTGGGTCACTAAGAAAATGCAAACCACAAGTCACCAACTTCTGAAAAGATGGGCTTGAGCAACTTGCCTAGCACCATATAAAAACTGGAGCAGAGGCAGTAACATCTCCTCGTTTTCCAAAACGGCATGTGACTGCCTGAACAATGAGATCGTCCTCTCATCCTGCTGTTCCCTGCCTTGTT